ATATGGGCAATTCCACGGTAACACGCGTTACATTTTACCGTGTCCTTCATTATTCTCCATTCTCTGGCTACAAGACTAATTTGAATTTAGTGTTCATCTTTTGTATTTTAATTTCCAAAGCTCAAGGCTAGATCCCCAGGTTCACACAAAAATGAAAGGTCAACTTGTGTAGTTGAGAGAGCACTGAAAAAATCGGTAACACGCGTTTTGCTAGATGGAAAGGGGAAAAAGGTACCAAAATTTAACTCGACTTTGTCCTAAAACTAATAACTCTATAACAAATTGGTTTCTATTGTAATCAAGTACTATGCTAAGGTTTATTAAACTGGAATAATAACAATAATTAAAGTTACACATTTTTAGTAAACTGCAAAATAGTCAGTAACACGCGTTACGGTAACACGCGTTTCATTTTGTCCGGCTACATTGTTGATAAGTTATTTCAATTGTTAAGTTACGAATTTTCAAAATTATCAACCGATATTAGTTGCACATCATATCTGAAGATCAAAACAGTAAGTAGACCTTTTTATTCGTTAGTTGCTCTACAGATCACAAAATTTGTAGTGCATGCGATTGTTTACTATCACTGGTTCTCTAAGTTCCCTAATAATCTGATTCCTTAAATAAAATGTTTTGTCATCTTTAGAACTTGGCCACTTCCAATTCTTTCCAGCCGGGTGCATTACTGAAACAAGAAAGTCATTTTCTTCACCAACTTCCATCACTTCACCAGGGAAATAATCCCCATCATATACTACAAGAACCCAATTCCCCACATGTATCTCTTTGAGATTGTTGTCACTTTGTGTGCAGTGCCGTAGAAAAGTATTTTTCATTGGGGGGATGATTGGCGTGTAAGCGCCAATGTGTGCGCTTGTGCGGACAGGGGATGTGCCCCCCTCTGAAGCTGGAAACCTTGTTTTTGCAAAATAAATTATTGCAATTTGATGACTACTTTTAGTGAAATTTTGATCAAAATGAAAATAAAATACAATAACAATATGGCATATCTGCTGTGAGATATTCACAACGCTTCCTTGTTGAACTTATGCCGTGAGGGAGGTCATTGATGTGGAGCAAAAAGAGAAATGGAAGAATAAGTAAATATTTTATAGTATTTTATTGACTTTCTTCATTTTTACACTTTTATAATAAATACATTCGCTCATGAACGATAAACCTCTTAGTGCCTATTTTGTTTTGTTTTTATTACCACTGGTATTAATATGGTTTTGTAAAGTATTAAACATAATAAAAATAATTAGTATTTATATGCGCTATTCACATAACTGCTTAAATGAAATGGCCAAACTTGTTTTTACGAGTTTCTGATCGAGAAACAAATTCTTTGGCCAGTTTCATAATGTCAGTGTCATCCAGCATTGACTTGGGGATGTTGGCCACTGCACAAGAGTTTAACCTCCTTTGCGTCATATTGTTTATCAACCAGGTCTTGAGTCGCCTTAATGTTGAGAAGCTGCGTTCACACTCGCATGAGGTAATTGGACAGACCAGCATTAACTTAAGGAGTAATAACGCCTGTGGAAAGAGGGCCCTGACGTCTGTTGACATATACTTATACCCGGTTGATGCAGCACCGAGTGTTTTTGCCTTGGTTTGGTGCAGAAACATATCAAGCTGCACCTTAAAGGCAGTTGGATTGGCGGTAGGCTCTGGATAAGTCTTGAGAATCTGTTCATCAATGATATATATATATAGTGAAAAACAGAGAGAGAACGAAACCATTTTACTTTTGATTATTAATACAACAGTTAAGGTTGAACTAAATAAGTTGGAAAAAAGATATTAAAATAAATGGGATAATAGGGTTAGGGTTAGGGTTAGGGTTAAATGGGTAGACCAAAAAGAAAAACATTGAGGGCAGAACATCATCATGAACAGACTAATAAAAAAAATCTTACCTGTCAATAACATCTGTTCGAGGTTCTCATATTCTTTGAGGTCAGCTTTTGATGATTCTCCAAATCTGTCGGCTAGATTGGCGCTGATAGAATCAAGGAATTCATAATATGCCTTCCTGAAATGCTGCTCTGCTGTATCAGGTTGGTGGGCTGGTGCTGGTCTAGAAATTCTTGCAGAAGGTCGTCTTCGAGGTATGGAAATTGGCTCAAGTCCATGAAAATGACTTCAAATACTCTCTCTTCACGATGTGTTCCTATCTCTGACAATGCTGCTTTTACCGATTCCTTCATTCCTGAAAAATATATACATGACAACATTAATTTGGTGATAATCTTTAAGATTAAAAAGGCAGCATAACTACATGACTGACCTTTAAACAAGGTACCTATAAATAAATGTTGCATTGTACTCTGTGATATGAAAATAGAACATCAACATGATCAACGTTTTGAACCTGGCTTTAAGATCAGAACTTTATATAGACCAATTAAATAAACCTATACGCTGGATTACATAAAACATAGAAGGTAAGCATTTAATGATTTAATATATATACCTGAAATAATCAATGTCCTCGCTTGTAGCCCATTATTCAGTGTTTCAAGTATGGCCAATGGCTTGTTGATCATCTGTAAAGCAAGAAGAACTTCACCCTTTTCGAATCTGTCAAGCAGTCCATTGGCTTTAGTGGCAGTACCTCCTTCTCCTTCTGACATTTCTGTGAGGCTCTTTATTACTGCAGCATAATTTTTGATAACTGACTCAACTGCAGACTGTCTACATAACCAACGTGGTGGACACAGAGGTCGAATCTTCGCACTTCTACTATCATACTCCTCAGTAGCAATGTCTACGAATATAGCCTGAAATAATAGAATAAATAAGAATGTGAACGTCGTAAATGTGATTTATGTGATATATTATACATGTATATCCATATACAGAAATATAAATGTAAACTCATATCTATAGGCCTATATATTTGAATATATTCAATAAACAAGCAGGAAAATTAGTAATAATTTTTGCCATATGGCTTCTTGTCACATTTTACAAATTGGGAGGAGAATATTATCATTTCCATAGTTGCATTTTAAAATATGTTACATACATTAATTTCACCGTGAGAATTTATATTGTTTAAATAATCTCACCTTATACTTTCCAGATCTTGAATAAAGCACTCCTAGATCCTGCACCCATTGCAAAGCATCTCGTACAAGCGGAGTCTTGCTGACAGCATGCTGCACTACCAAGTTTGATACATGGGAACTGCAATGGAAGAACATGGCCAATGGTTGTTGTTCCTTGATTTTAGCCTGGCAGCCGATGTATTTCTCACTCATGTTTGATGTGCCATCATAAGTTTGAGCTCTCAGGTTATTGATGGATAGCCCGAGCCGTACCAGCACATCTGCTACAACTTTTGACAGAGTTCCACCAGTTGTAGAGGGAGCCTCGTACAGTCCTATAAAGTCTTCATGGACATCTAGGTCGTCATTGACATGACGGATGCAAATAGATTCCTGTTCTGTGCCATTGATATCCTGAGTGCCATCTACAATTACCGCAAAGACTCCATCTTTTTTCACATCATCCGCAATACTCCTTACAATGCTATGACTCAGATCTTGAAGCATCTCATTTTGAGCCTGAGGGGATATGAACGATGTTGATTGCTTTATGTAAGTGGACAACTGCTTGTCGTCTTCAGCTTGAAGTTTTAGCAACTGCTGAAAATTTCCTTCTGATTCCTCATGTCCTCCGAATGCAAGTCCTTGTCTTGCTAAGTATCTCACAGATTTGAATACTTTAACAAGCATTCGCCGGTTACATTCCTGTTCTTTATGCTTTTAATCATTTACCTGTGCCATAACGGTTGGTTTCTTTTGAGTGTTTAATTGGGATATGGCAAATCTGTGAGTTTCTGATGCTTCATGTTCACCAAATCTGCCCGACTTTTTGTTCCCTTGGCCAGTGACTTTATTCCAGTTGTTAAAACCAGTGGAGATGAAGGCATCTTTTTTTGTGTGCGAGGCTTAACAGACCTTGTTGCTCTGCTGAAGCACATGTATGGCAGACAACACCGTTGAGTTCTTCAGAATAGTGAAGCCACTTATATCTATCAAACCATTTCTGTTGAAAATAAATCTTCTGTGTCTTGGTTTCTTTCGCCGGTATCTCTGATGCCAATGGTTGACGTGGCTCTGATATTTTTATAGCAGGAGCTTCATTTGTAGCAGAGCATGTTCTTGGTGGTGACAATTGATCATCAGAAGGCATAGGTAAAGTAGTGTCAGTAAAGGATGATAACGATGGAGCTGCAGTAGCTTCAGGGGTATCATGGCTTTCTCTTGACGGTAAACTTGGATTTAGAGTTAGCCGAGCTTCAGAAGCAGACTGGGACGATGATAATTGCTGTTTTTTGAAGAATCGCAACAGACCTGGTTCGGTATTGTCTTTAGATTTAGTCCTAGCCCTTTTCCGTGGGGGACTGGACATCTAAAAGAACACATGAGCGAGTGATAATTACTTTCGCATCCAATTAAAGCGAAATATTTCTCATGTAATGAATGATATGAATGAAAACCTTATGATATTTTCTTTAGGGTTTGAGGCTTCACCTCCTCTCATTTAAGAATAGGCCTATGTTCATATTCAACCATCAGGCCAAGGCCTCAGGGTTTTCCCCAGGGCTTACTGTGGTCCCCCTCCCCCACATAGGCCTGCCTCCAACTAAGCCCCTGAAAAGTAGTCCAAGCACGTTCAGAATAATTTCAATTTGAAGAGCAAATTATCTGTGTAGTAAGTACGTCTTACCATTTTCCACGTAGGCCTACTGTAGTACAAAGTTAACACTAAAAAGCTAAGCGTGCCAACAGAAACATGCAACACTGGAATGCTGGATAAAAAAAATACAAATAAAATGTATAATCTTAAATTAAAGTTAAAAAAAAGTTTTACTTACACTGGAAATGGTATGGCAATTTTACTACGAAAATTCAAACTGTCGTTGCCCAATCCGGATGTGTCACTCTGACTCTGGTCTGGTCTGGTCTGGTCTGGTCTGGTCTGATCTGGTTTGGTCTGGTCTGGGCAGGTTTTTGCGCTTAGAGACTCTTGTATTTTGGGCGATATAAATATTGATACCTTGTTCTTTCATTTACAGAACAATTTTAGCGTACCTAAAAAGTTCCTCCTTGCTAGTATAATCATTAAATTCCTCATCAACCGATATAACCTTAAAAATTCTTGGAATTAACAAAAATTACTGATGTACACACCCTTCAGTGTGAAAATGTGGCTTGCTTTCAAGCACATCTAACATCCAAGGAAAGTAGAGCTTAGATTGGTACGAGATAAAATAATTTTGTTATCAACATTAATATATTATGCTAATTTTTATCATTGTAATCGCATAAGAAGACATTGCAAAATATTTCTGTGACAGGCTTCTGAAGCGTGTAAGGCTCCATATTATCACATACATTGTCCAAATATTGGGGGGGATGATACAATGGACCATCCCCCCATGTCAAATATTGGGGGATATATCCCCCATCCCCCGGGATCTACGCCTATGTGTGTGTGACCATGACTAATGTCACTTTGATTGTTACTCTTATCAGCTGATGTGACACTTGGTGCATCTACTTCAAGAGGTGCTACTCCATCAATGCTTGTCATGTCCACATCATCCACCTCATGACCTTCATCTGCTCCAGAGCATCTTCTGTGGTGATGGATGCAGTTACTTTGCCATCTATTACCTATGTAATGCATGCTTGCAATGCCTTTGACTAATACGGCCTTCTCAAATACATTGTGTGAGTCAAGGGTGTTGTTTCTTGTGGTGATAGTTGAACTATCCATTTCGTCAACTTGCACTTTGGGCATTTTTGAAGCAGCAGTTACGAAGGTTGCAGCATTCTTCACAATGTGTTTCCGGGAGCATACATTTTCCCATACGAATCGCTTAGTTGACCCCCCTCCGTCGACAGGTCCTTTGCCGTGGGATGTTGCAAAGTAATTCCACCTTATTTTTACATTGTGCTTGACTTCCAGGCCTGGGATAGTGACTGGAATATATCTGTTTTTAAACTGTGTGCTGGGCCCATCCGACCAGATTGACACAACTTTAATTGTAGGGGGAAGATCTTCAAGTACTTTATCAATGTAGGCTACTAGGGTTTCTTTTGTGTGTGATAAATTGTCAGACACAATCGCACTTGAATGGAACTTTCCGGAATAGTAGGTAGCAACTGTGAAGAGTGTGACCTGATTCTGATGCCAGTGGGCAGATTGCACCTCGTCCTGGTAAACACAAGTATAGTTTTCAGAAAATTCAACCTGAATGAGAGCGATTTCTGGATTGTGCATTTCTGAGAGGGCTGTATCTCGCTCTTTATTGTATTATCACCCTGTTTACGTTTTACATAACAGTTTTCTAGGAACTTTGGTATCAAACTGCACATGTGTTCCAACAAGTCTCCAATTGTTCCCTCTTCAATCACTTTCGAAATTCTGTTGTTTTCAGCATTTTTCCACAGATACCAGGTATATGATGTTTCAGAAGCATCTTCAAATGTGTAGTTGTCCTTAAATCCTTGACAATTTTTGCAATTAGAGCATTCGTTAAGCCAACATTTTTTTGTTGGAGAAGGGCACAGGAGGGTTTCAGGGAAGCTATGAGTATAATTGGGGAAGTTAGAGCTTGCCTTGTGAAGAGATCCATGGCAAATATAAAGTTTTTCATGATATTTACACAGGCATACGTTATGAGGAAGTTTGTTGGTGAGCAAGACATACTTTAGGCGCAGTTCTGCAAATTTGCTCCTCCCTACTTTGGTTACTGGGTATTTTTCCTTGAACAATGCAAAGGTCTCATTCAGAGAATATATCATGGGTCTTATCTGTGCCTTTTCTTTAGAACCATCATCACTCCGAATTCTCACACTATCCTTCCTGCCAGGTGCCTGACGGCTAATATTTTCCTCTTCATAAAAGCGCTCCACTAAACGAATTGTATCATTACTAAGCGCACTGACGTGTTTCTTCTTCTGTGTTTCTTGCATTGGAGATTTGTCACATCATTCCTAATACAGTTTGCGTGTAACTAGTTTTGCTCTGCAGAGAGTACATGGGAGAGCATTTTGTAATTCTCGACGAGCTCTAGCAGTGGCTTTAGCAAATGCTGAAGCACTGTTGAATTGTCGGGGTCTTTCTGCAAGTTTTTCTGCTTCTGCTTGACGTTTTTTATTGCGGAATTTCTTAACCCGCGCATTGGTAGCATTTCTGATATCAGCAAGTTTCTTTTTTTTTGTCAGAGCCATCAAGTTGGTCAATCTTAGCCTTTTTCTTGTAATAGCTCTTATTTGATGATTCAGCCTGTTTTTTCTGGTATTCAGAATAACTTCCTTTAGCTTTCATTCTCTCAAGGTATCTTCACTGCTTTTCAGCATTAGTCAGTGGCATTATGTTATTCTATAATTAATATACAGATGAAATAAAATCAGGGATAAGCCAGAATTCAAAAATAAATAAAGAATTATAATATTATCACTGTTACTCGATACATTTGAATGTGAAAACATGCAATTTTTCTTCAATTTTCATGGGCTATGTTTGTGCACCCAAATTATGATACATTTTATGCTTTTTTAGCCTAAGGCTGTAAGTCTCTAATACTGTATTATTTTACTTGAAAGTTCCTTTAATCGACTCTTTAAAATGTTTTGTAAAGGATATGTAAAAATGAGAATCTTACCTGTCTTCTTTAAATTGGATTAAGATAGATTAAATTGATTCACTTCATTCACAATGGATTACACTTTAAAACAATACATGTGCTGAAAATGAACCCTGAGGCATTGTGGGTATAAAAAGACTGCCCTCTGTGAACTGTTAGAAGCTATTAGACTATTATCTTTTCACTTGAAAAGGAAAGGGCTGTGTTAACAGTTAACAATTACTATTGTATGCATTATATTGGGCATGGTAACATGCGTTTCATTGGTAACACACATTTCAAGCCCTTACTAGTAGGAGGAAAATTATAAGTTGCAGCAATTGAAACCAGATTATTTAGTAAATATATTTAAAAAAGTGTATTTTGGTAACACGCGTTACGCTATCCGAGACTACCTCCAACAAAGTGTTGACACGAGTGTACATTGAGTTGTATTGAAATTTTACTTATTGTTTCAGAAAGACTATTGCCCATACTTATACAATGCATATATATTTTTAAAGAAAATTGATCCGGATTCTAAAACTAGGGCCAATAGGTAAAATCATAAAAAACATGATTTTTTCCTCTTTAAAGTGCACTATCGGAAAAGTAGATTTTTTTTTCACAGTAAACAATACCCAAACAGAATAATTTTTTCCCCCTGACACTTACATGTGTTTGGAATGATAAAAGACCAGAACCCTGTGGGTGCGTTCGTTCCTTTGTACTTAAAAAATCAATGTACATTTGGGAATTGCAATAACTTACTGTATCTTTTTGAATAATGATTGTGTAAGTTAATACAGTATTTTCATTTTCAGTCAAAAAAATCAGAGGCGGATCCAGAAATTTATGAAAGGG